AACACGGCCAATCAGAGTAGAAGTGGTTGGTTTCGGTGAAAGGATGAAGTGATGGCTGCAGAAAGATAAAGTATAAAATAAATAAGGATTATTTTGAACTGGATGTATCTGGAAATGAGTGTAACTGATGCCCGTTATGAATTGTTTACTTATAATTTTAATGACCGTTAAATAAATAACATTAGATATAATAGAAAAACCTTTTTTAAGACTTTATTAGACTATATGAATAATATGTCAAATTCTATTAACATTATTTTCCATCTATGTATTATTATAATATTTATTTTCAAAAATGTGCTAGCTATATTGGACTGACTCACTTAGATTAAATAGTAAAGTATGCAAGCAGAGATTCAAAATGAGAAAGTATTATACTTCAGTTTGATAGTGACAAACTGAAACGTAGATCAGGTTATAGAACATCTGTTTTTAAATCGCCAGTTGCCAAAACAATAGGTTTATATTTACATGAGCAGTATATTTACCTGTTGATGAGTTTGTTGTTATGTAAAACTGAAAGTAAGTCACGGTTTTAGAGGAAAACAACCCCAACATCTTTGATGTTTTGTTCAGGGACTCGATTGTTCAGTGGGTTAGATTTATTCATTTATTTATTTGTTTATTTTGCCCTAAATATAGGTTATATTTAGTTTCTGCTCTAAAACGCTCAGTCGTAGCTCAACAGGAATCAGCCGAGTCTCCCTGAACAGATGTTGTTTATTTTTGCAGCTTAGCCAGCAGGATCTTTTACAGAGCAACTAAATTTCCATATAAACATGATGAAATTCCTGCAGACGACCTGCTGTTGTTGGAATCGGTGCAAATCAGACATGTTGGCGCTGCACAGCCAGGAAGCTGCATTTATTATACTTTAGTCCTGTAGTAATGTTACTAGACAACCTGCTGGTTATTGGGTTTGGTGTTCACTGCAATGAAACATCTGCAAACCCATTTAAAGTGAAATAAAAAGGGTATTTATTTAGAAACATTTTCTCTTATCAAAGTAATGAAATAATACACTGCAAACAAGAACACATTTTTATGTTTAAGCTAGCACTTTATCATATATAACTGCTGTTTGAGTCCTCATCAATTCATTTACTTCCTTCAAATGCATCAGGATAGGTTGGCAGAGTAAAAGGATGGACGGTGCATGTGAAAGACCTCCAGTGGACATCTTTGTAAATATGACTCTTTAAATTGTTTTAGATATGATGGAAAGACCTTTGAGAGAATGAACATTTTCTAAAATAGCTGTTTCATCGATCATGACAATCTCACGAACTGTGGTTAGATTCTGTTGATCTTTTCTGTACAGTCTGTGCTGGCACAAAGTGTTGCTACCAAGAATGCCTTTTAATTTATTTCTTTTTAAACTGTGTCACCGACTAACAGAAAATCCCCCTCGACCTTTCTAAAGTGGCTGGATGCTGTAAGAAGCACAAAGCACTTTAGGAGAGCTGATCCGGTGGTATTGGAGAAGTCTCTGCTGACACGCTGCCTGTTGGAGGGGAAATTATAAGCAGACATGGCAGCCGTCCAGGTTATTGTCTGGGGGGTTTTCCCCTCAGCGTTCAGATTATCAGATTAGTCCTGGGAATTCATGTCCCCTCGGTGCTTCTCTTGTTCTCGGCCACTGAGCGGAGGTGAGGCGGCTGAAGACGA